TGCATCACAATCATCGGCAGCCCCAACCTCAAACGAACACTACGTACGAGAAAGAAGATCAATGAGTAAATATACGAGGTGAACGATAGAATAAGATCGGGGGAAATAGACATGTCGGACTTCTAGCAAACAGTCGACGGTCTCCCCGTCAACGTGAACTCGAGTTGATCGGTAGGGAGGGGGAAGGAGGATGTCTGCGTGGGTGTTTGAACTTCTATGGAGAACAATAATTGTGTTCCATCGACGGAAAACGCACCGATACTACTGCGAACACGATCGATGAGAAGCGCTCGTTGGTGCTGTTCCATAATAATGATCATGATGATTCATCGTGCCAGTGTTAATATCGGTATGGGGAGTCCTCTCGGGAGGGTTCAGCTTGCCGACAACGGCGAATTCCGGACGAAGAGTTGCGGACCGTTCGGGGATAGGGTGGGGGCAAGGCATATGACGGTGGTCATTTGGGCGATTCGAGTCGGAGGCTGGGAATTCGAAAAAAGAAATTCGAGGATTGAGGGCGGACGGGCAGGCAGACAGATGGACTGAAGGCCGGGCAGGCGGAGGGGTTTCGAGAGGTCGGCAAACAAAACTCCGTAACGAAGAAAAGTACAGAGGTCGCGGAACTATTCTAAGAATTTCTCAGTAAGGTCTCGGTGGTCGTTTCCTGGCATTTCACTTCGAATGTCAAAGACACTCGGACAGACCACGAGCTCGCCCATCGGACGGAAGTTCGAGATCGGAGCCTAAGACACGAGAGGAGAGTTCACGTATGGAATAAAAGTGTTGCTCACTGAAAAGGATTCGCTCTATCTTTGGTTATTGGGCCGGCTCGGAATCGGAAATTATACAGCACGCAGAGGATTCCGAAATGGAATGACAAAAAGGCCGGGGACCGGGAAGTTTCCCGTCTCGGCGGAGCGTTCTCGAGTGGTGGATCGGGGATCGGGAAACGCTTTTCTTTTCTCTCTCGTTCGTTCTTCCGCCGGTAGACGGCTCACCAATTATTTTACTGTCACTGCCTCCGTTGTATGCAGACACCGCTACGATGCCATCCAGTTTCCTGCTCGCCATTTTCGCTCGCATGCATCGCTGCCTGCTTGATAGCCAGCTCGCCAGCCGGCAGGGGAATTCAATGTATTTAAGTGGTACTCTCAGAGACCGCGGGAAATTCACGCTGATCCAAAGTCTGCCGGTGCGGATATCAACGTAACGTATCTCGCTCCCTGCAGCAACCGATCAGCTGCCTTCAATAAATCAGTTTAATCTATCATCAGCCAGTCAGGCCATTTCCCAGACACACTGCAGTCAGGACCTTCTATTGGTACAATCCATCGGTCGATTATTCTCTGACAATCACGCTCTACAAACGTCTGACTTCTTCTCTCGTTGACTCCTTCCGTCAGCGGCTGCTTCCACGAATCTCTCGAATAGCTCCCGCTCAAACCCACAATTGGGCGTCGTCCATTCTATCATCAGACAAGACCATCAGTTTCTTCTAAGCTCTTCGATTACAGTATTTGTTGTGATGATTATTGTTACTCTCATCATCGAAATCCGAACATGGATATCCATCGTCATATCCGTCAACGATCGTTTCTATCCTGGTCTTTGTATCGATCTCTGTCAGTGAGTCAAGATGAGAATCCTTTACACCTGCCACACTGCTCTCAAATAATCATTCGAGTAACTTCTGTGAAGGGCAGGCTGTCGACTTGTGTCAATAAATAGGAATCCAAGCTTTCGTCGCTGTGATTCAGTTCTTCTCGTCACATTTCCTCAATGTGGAGGATTTCACTCAGTCATTCACGCGTTCAGCCAGTGTCGAATTTATTCGCTCTATAAGCTTTGTCTGTCGATCGTCTGTAATTATTGTCTGTGCGTGTGTGAGTGTTTGTGTTCTCGTGTACGCAGAGCCGTTTATCGTCACGGGAAGGTCAGGTTCTCGGAGAAAACAAACAGTAAGAGAGGAGCCTCAGGATCGCAAGTGGCGGAATAAGAAGCACAAAACGATCAACAAGCTCTCTGATGCACGTGAAGCTGCTCCGATGGACGAAGTGGCGGAGTCTTTCGCTCGATGTCTAAACGTCGGATAAATGCGGCTCAAAAAGTTGACCATGCAGCCACGGTCTCGTTATGCCCAACACAGACAGAATATATTCGATCCCGAGGCAAGCGAGGAAACAAAGGAGGAATGATTGTATAAATATTGTATATGAGAAATTATAACTCTTATGGAAATACCAGCCGGAGAAAAAACTGTCTCTTCGGAAATCAAGGGAACATGAGCGGAAGACGCTCGCACGTCGGAAGACCCGAATTCCGACCTCTGGGATCCAGGCAATCCGGATCTGACCTACTCGTGCAGCGATCCTCTCGTCTGTACAGCAGATACTGCTCGCAGACTTTTCAAATCATCCACTTCTCAACGCAGTGAGACGATCGATGGGTAGAGAGAAACGAGAAAAAAACGCAAGTCACTAGACCCGAGCAAGCGTGACGCATATCTGAACCGTGTCTGCTCTTGTCAATCAACTCGCTCTTGAATTTTCACTCAATGGCGATTGGATGCCGATGCAATGGCAACTTGAAATCTAATAGTATCGTAATGTGGATTAAGGAAGTTATCTGCAACAATGTTTGTCTCAACCGGGCCGTACTAAATCGCCTGTTCTTTCGAGATAGCTCGATTCTCTCCACGATATTCCATACTGGATTTGAGTTTCGTATCCGTCGGGTGCGGCTTCCTTCTTCGATCGATGTCTAGCTCCACGCATTGTTTTTCGAATCAAATGCTCGAGAGAGGTGGACTCGGAAAAGTCTCAAATCCAGTCGATTTTCTTCTGGGCCTGATAACTTTTACGACAATGATTGTTATGCCTTCGATCGACCAGATGACAATTCCGCTTCGATACGATAGAGCTCTCACCAGGCTTGATCAAAATCACCAGGTGGTGAATTGATCGAATAGACCACGCTGTTGATATCAAAACGCCTTAATCGAGCTTGCTGCACAAGGAGTTGAGAGACGAGAAAAGAGGAAAGATCGGTCTGAGGGGATGGATCCCTAACGGAGTCATTCCCGAGGAGAGCGTCCTGCCCCCTTAACGGAAACTTAGTTTTCGGAAATCCTCGACCGTTCATTTCGGTCACGCATTTTCAACGATAATTTTGCACGAGTATCTCATGAAATGTTTGTGGGTGTCTGTTTACGGCGGTTTGGAAGTATGCACATGGAATAGTGTCGGTGGTCTGTTTCGCTGCATCGTAGTTTGTCAGGTGTGGGGCTGCGGAAATGTCTACCACCGGTGATCATCGTGGTGAATGCCGTCATGATGGCGGAAATGAGAACCTCAAGTATGTACGACGAAGGCTCTTCCTGAAGCGTTCCAATTTCTTCGACTCGCTCCGTGGGATAATTTTACGATGCTTTGGTTGTGGTCGTCGTCTAATCGTGGTTCGTGATATACCTTTGACATACTCCTGGTGAAAGTCAACTCTACCAACAAGTTCTCAATCAGTCAATCAATTAATCATTTAATCGATCGCTCAATAATATAATATATTTATATATATACTCATTTATATATATATGTTTATGTATATTTCCGAGGTGGTGTTCCGCGTGGTTTGTGTATTTCGTGTCAATGTGTTCTGGCTTCATACCGTTCTTAAATCAAAAAGAAAAACACGCGACCTCATGACGCGATATGACTAGGTTTTTACAGAGGGACTCGAGCGAAGTGTTCGCCCTGCATCCCCGGTCACTATGGTAGGCCGTCCCCGGTAATTTTTATTTCTGCTGCATCTTCTCGCGAATTCCACCGAAAAGTCTGGTCAGGTCCCATTAGGTAAAAGGTTTCTTGTCGCTAAGGTTGTTTTTCATCGCGAAATCAGAGATATTCTAAACCTTTTTAGCGAATTCGATGGCAATACGCCCGCGGCCCGATTTGGCTATTAAATCATACCATGAAGGGGTACTGACGGCAAAACAATCGAAATCTCAATCGACAAGACCGTCGTATTGGGGCGTGATGTCTCATTGTCAGGTGGAGAGCAAGACCCCCCAATGCAATCTTTGGTACGTTGCCATCATGACGACCTGTAAAGATTCCGGAAGCTTTCTTTGGTTTGATTCTTTGTCTGAACGTCTGAACGTCTGCCCGTCCGTCCGTCTGTCTGTCTGTGTGAGAGAGCATATGTCGAGTGTGTGTTTGTCTATTCGTTCTTCTAACCAACGCGGGGCCCATGTGTGGAGCGCAACCCGTGGAACATGATTATGATCTGCGAATGCGGAAGAATGGAGAAGGAATTCGCCGAAAGCCAGCTCATCTCCCCGCTAGAAACCCAAACTCCTCTAAACTAGACATCTAACATAATCTAACGAAAATTTGGCCATTTGAGAAAGGAGTCAGTCTTTAGCAGTAGAGAGAGGAAGAGATATTAAGAGATAGAGTGCAGCTGACTCAAATTGTCTGCTCCGGTTTCTATCTAGCTGTTCTCGCCTGGATATCTCCTGGATAATTTAGGGTTGACTTTGTTATTGTCGGTTGAACGTGGAGAATTCGTCCGTCACAGAAGAAAGTAGAATCCAGAATGAAATGACGTTGTGCTCGGTAGCCCTCCGCTGCGCTCACCCTGCCATGCCGCCTTACTGTAGCCAGTATATAGTATCACCTGTGGTTTCAGAGGTAAAACTCCATCATCCAAGAGAGACGAAGTGGACGAGATCGTGTGACTGCGATGGCATCGAGCTTGCTTGTACAAGACCATACATTCTGGCGCACCGTACTCGAGGTGTCGGTTTGTATTTGAACTTCATCACTTGGTTTCTCCCTCTCTGGCGAGCAGTAGAGACATCCAAGTTTTTAATATCGGCTCGACCCTCCGCGACGATGGCGAAGGCGGCGACTGTGATGGGGGAGGAGCAGCAGCAGCAGCAGCAGCGTGGCGGTACCGTCAGCAACAACGTCGAGATTTTAAAGCCATCTAGATACATTCGTTTAATAGAGGCCGCATCCACGTAAGTTGTTCGCAATGATGACATCCGTAACAGCGTCGAACACGAATTGAATGTTGGTTGTATCAGTGGCGCAGGTCATATGGCAATAGATCTCTTTCATGGTTGACTTGTTTTTCGCTTCGAACTGGGCTTGAATGTATGCAGCCGCCTCACCGTATTCTTGCGCCCCTGGGAAAGAGGAGGAATGAACTCTGTTAGCCGAGCGGAACCATATGGACCGATACATCGGGACATTCTCGTAATTGCGCGTCGGCGCTCCAGCCTACCGGGACGCCCGCGCTCGATCGACCGCCGATCGGTAGAGAAAGTATCGCCGGATTCCGACAACTGTTACGCTTACCCGTGTATTCTGGGAAGCAAATTGTCAGCGGACTCCGCTTGATCTTTTCCTCGAAGAGATCCTTTTTGTTGAGGAACAGGATAATAGAGGTATCTGTGAACCACTTGTTGTTGCAGATCGAATCGAACAGCTTCAGTGACTCTTGCATCCGATTCTGGAGAAAAAAATCAAAACCGTCAATCTCAATCACGACCTCACAAATGGCCGTTCTCCTCAACTATCATACCAGCTGTCAATGGTCCAGAGCACGCAACCGACATGTCTGACTGAGCGACTCTGCGACCGATTGACCGGCCAAGCAAGCGACTGATCAAGTGACCGGCTGACCGACGGAATAGCGGTTTTGCAAACTTCATCTAAATGGAAACAGCTGTCTGTTTTGGGAGCAGATGTTAGGTGGTCTGCTCGAACGCGGGCCAAGAAAGAAACAAGTCGGCGAACTTCAGAAAAACACGAACGTATGGAGAGAACTTCGTTAGATATTTTCGGACAACATCTTACGGCGCAATGAGACCTCCGGCATTTCTACCCGTAAATCTCCAAGACATATTCACTAGTTGAAAAAACAAGACCGTCCACCTGGAAAACTGGAGGGAGGCTGGGCGGAGTTCCTCGCAAGCACTCACCGTTGTCTCGTCTTCGTGGAGGACTTGATCGTATTCACTCATGGCTACACAGAATATTATGGCCGTTACGTCTTCAAAGCAGTGAATCCACTTTTTCCGCTCTGACCGTTGTCCACCGACGTCAAACAGTTTGAAATTGAGGTTTTTGAACGAGAAATGAACCTCGACGATACCAGTTGTTTTGACTCTCGTACGAAGGATATCCTGTTCCGACGGCATGTAGTCTTTTTTGCCTAGCCGATCGAGATCATCAAGGAAACTGAAACATGGAAGTAAAGGAGTCAAGGGAAAATTCATTTCGCTCACGAGAAGGCGCAGCCCATTCCGTCCATCGGTCTGATTATTCCGGCGACCGTGGGAATTTCCTAGTGATGGAGAGTTCGGATCGGATCAAAAAGCGCGCCTCGAATCCTTAGCACGAGCTCAGATTTCTCACGTCGAGGAGCATCGATCGAATCTGATATCTGATTCGGAGAAGAACTCATCGCGGCTCTCAATCAAGATGGGTACCGTTGTTCGAATGGACTCTCAGTGTGTTCATACAACACTGTAGCGTCACGCGTCGCCTCTGCTGACCGCAGGTTTTATGAACCCGGGAGTTTCGTCATCCCCCCTCTGCCAAGGCTCCCAAGGAGCTCGATGCTTTCTTTTCATATATTTTTCGGAATATGAGGTTCCGGATCGCTTCATTATTGATTGCCGGCTCATCTCGATTCTGGGAGGTCTATCGCGAGCTTCGGATCGACGACTCACTATTTGGCGCTGTCATTGAGCTGGTACTCATTGTTTCGTTCGTAGCACTCCAAAACGCCTTGGTCTACCCAGAGTCGCTTCATGGCCGCGAGCAAGTCTTCACTGAATGGCTCGGTATCCTCCATCCGCGAGACCACGTCGAATACCTGTTGGATTAAGCGAAGAATACAGGATCAAGAAATCGAAAAGTGATACTCGACGCCGAATCGACCCATCTACGTGTTCTAGATTCGGACCCAGCACTTCGCGAAAGATGATATGATCGGGAGAGCCGCTTTCGGAAGCATCTTGGAGCCCCGATTTTCCGCTCAGAGACAGGGAAGACAAACATGACCAGAGCAGATGTTCCTCTTTCATCTACGCGTAATTAAAATCCTTTGTGATGTCAGCAGAAGCATTCTAGCGAACGAATCATTGTGCCGGTGGCGTCTCGAACTGATGCTCCAAGGTCGACGTCGACAGCATCGATACCATCATTGTTGAGCACTGTCCCATGCTTGCGGACTGATTTGGATAGTAACTAGAATCTATAAATAGAGTCGCACCGGATCGACATCATGCGTACCATTTTCGCATCTGCGTCTCGCTCGTAGGACGTGAAAGATTTACTTAGAGAAGGCATCGCCCGCAAAATGGCCACCATTGACTGGATGGTGTTGGAGTAGACTACAGGCTTGTACTGTTTGAAGTCCTCAGGAGTGAATCCGCTGTCGTGGATAATTCTGGAAAGAGGGAGGGGACGTTAAGGAATTATATCGGCGCTCCATGTTCGGTTCCTTTTGAGATCCGATCTCCTTCGGGTCGTTCGACCGTCTAGGAACATATGCTCCAGAAGTCCAAAGGGTACTCACTTCATCTGTTTAACGATGGTACTTTTTCCGGATTCTCCGGCTCCTGTAACGTGGAAGAAAATGGTCAATCATGGAATCTCGGAGTCGAATGTGGAGCTCGCTCACAGTGTATCGACAAGCTCAGAAATGTGTACATCTTAAGCGGTCCATGTAGCTTTATCACTCCGATCTAGCCCATCGGTTGGGTAGCCTCGATCTCTCAGACGAAGTATACAAAGGTATACCTGAGAGCCTCGGCTTCGGAGGCGGACCTCGAGAATTCCGTCCATCGTCGAGAATCAAATGTTTGAAAAATCGTGTCCCTCAAAGCGCTCTCCGAATACGACACGCTTCGCCGAGGATTCTCCTCGAGGAGACCCCTCCCTCGGAAATTACTCGACACGTCGACGCTCGCGCTCTCCACACGGAGAATACCCGAAGGAACATCCGTCTCATCGGTCGACATAATCGAAATTGACGCCTCCGCAATGCTTGCGCCCGGATTGGGCCGTTCCATCGCCCTCCTTTCGCTCGAGCTCCTCACGACCCGACCGCCGAGTATCTTGTCTACTGGATATTGCCGCCAGACAAGGAATACATGCGTCATGATTCATGCGGATTGGTTCGGCTTCGCCGCTGGAAGGATTAGTCGTTACAGATCACAGACTCCGACGAAGCCCCGAACCTTGCCGAGCGGCATTACCCTGACGTGTGTTTACGCGCGCATGGCATTCTTTGGTCAACTTGAAAGCCATTCACAATTCTTGACATCGGCAGCCGCATCAAAAATAGCATAACCAACGTCACACGTCAACATTTCAGCCGGTATTGATAGACAGGGTGCCATCCGCCTTCTTCGTCATCCCTCCTGCTCACCTCTATCTCACATGTTTAACATTTGGTGGGGGACAGATGAATATTCCCTCCCTCGCCCCGTTTTCGATACATTCCGAGCAGCCCCATCGATTCTCCAGCAAATTGCAACGCGAAACTATTTCCCCCTCCGCACCGAGTGAGCTTCACGGCGTCAAATCCGCGCTCCCGGTGGAAGCACCGATCGCGGACGGCACACGACTATTCGATGGGTGCTCGACGCCCTCCCTGAAAGATTCGAGTAGTCTCCCGCAGTTTCGTTTGCGTAGGCCTTGTTTCGCGAAAGTAGTCCCGCAATCCGTTCCCTTAGATGAAATTCGTCTGGGCATGCGGGTCAGGGAGAACAATGGGGCCCGCGCGGTCAATCCTCCTAATTCGAAGATTTTCTCCGGTCCTGATTGTAAACCAGTCGTGTTATTGTATCAACCAGTCTCGTTCCATGGCTCAATCCGCTCATTCTGGCGATTGAGCCGGTTAAACCGTATCGCCAGTGCCTATCGGACCCTCACGCAGCCGAATCTGGCTAAATTTGTCGATAGGCTGACGGCGACATTGACGAAGGACTCGACAACGTTGCCATGTCATTTCTACGCAACGATATGAAGCCTGCCGAGCCCACTCTCCTTGGCAATAGTGTCAGTGTAGGATACGCTAGCTCTCGCCGACTTGATTGACTCACTATTGGCTAAGGTGAACCTATTGCGAGCACGGGTGTTTACAAACTCTCAGAACTCGAGGCTGAGGGTGCAGAAACCTAGGAGCGAGGATAGAGGAGCTACCCTCCGGAGATACCGTATTGGTTTTTTTCTCGAGTATTCAAAGCCCTTGTATTTATTCGTCGAGTATTCGTTCGACCCCGAAAGAGAGGCGTGAACGGATACTGGAGGCGTCGAGGAATCGACTCCAGACGAGTGCAGGGTACGCTGATAGACTCCGAGCCGACCATGAACAGCAGCTGGCTTCTTGCCCCCGGACGGTGGATCTATGTCGGCGCCGCGTCGTCGTCCTCGCCCGCTTCGGAGGCGGCCGAGATCCAGACCGAGAGCAACAACCTTCGTGGTTTCATCGACGGTGATCGTCGGCGTTGCCGTCGCTGTAGATTTTAGAATCGACAGAGGGACTGGCCCAAGTGGATATATTTATCCGTCGGCTCGCAGGTGTGCGCGGTCGGGGAGACGAGTGTCTCCGAACAACCGGCCACGGTAACTAGAAGAGGACGGCCCAGAGGTTCGGGGGCTTAGTCGATCGGCGGCATCTGCGGACTTCCGCAGAGCAACTCGACCGAGAAGATCGAGCTTAGCAAAGAAAACGGCTTCCGAGTTTTTGGTACGGAGGGAGTTGGGCAGACTTGCACCGAACGAGGCAGAATATGATAAGATCTGCTTCGTATAGTAGCCGCGAGATCTTTCGCTTGCCACACGCATGTCCTCAGGAGGTTTCCTCGGCGAAGGCTCCAATCCATGCGAATATCGCGACGCCGAAAGTCTCTCGTTTTTTTTTCGGCAAATTTCATCGGATATCCGACAGAATACATGTATACATTCCCTGCTCTCCCAAGATGAAAGAATTCTCGCTCTGATCGGCAAACAGGTGTCTTACACACCGCGATTGCTGGTTTCCGAAGCGATTCCCATGAGCGTACATCGGTCAAGAAAGAGAACCCTTTGACAAGATCCTCCAGAAGAGCTCAATTCAATCCCCTCGCGGGAGAAGAACGACGCGGCGAGGAATTCCTCTCGCTCAGCATTCCCCGATCGCAATCTGGGATTAGGCTCAGTTACCTAAGAGGACTTGTCGTGGATGCGAATTGATGATTCGGGTCATCATTCGGTGATTTCTCCAGAATCTTTGAGCTCCGCGTCGGATATCCCTCGCTCGATGTGCCTGTCCGCATGACTTTTCCAAGTATGCTAGAGGAACCAATGGACAGAACCGAGCAATCGGATGGTGAGAATCGATTATCGTTCGCGTCCCTTTCGTCTTTCGCTCTGCTGTCCTGCCTGCTGTTTGCCTGGCAGTGGGAACTCGCCAGGAACACCTAAGAAAGTCTTCCAGGAGTCTCTCCGTTTCGCTCTCCATCTTACAGTATCAGGCAACAGGTTTCGGAAGCAACCACGGCAATGCCTGTGAGAGGCAATCATCAATGCGAGGCCATAGGCTAAACAGAATGTGGGAGCTGCTCTGTCTGTGTACGCGTCTCTCAGACGAACAGATAGGCAGTTCTGTCTGTGCCGATTGTGTATCTATTGGTAAACCCGGCCGACTTCTAGTCGAGACAACAGAAGCACGACTGAGCTGAACGCCTGAGCGCGCAGCTCGACTGGCGGTCAGGGAGGCACGCGGCCGGCCGGCGAGCCGACGGGGTGGCTATGCGCACCGATTGAAGCATTACCAAGCTCGATACCCGCAGCACACTTGTTCAGATTGTCGTCTTTGTTGTTCAGGGAGCACTCATGAGACGGCGAGCAGCAAACCGAAACGGGATTAATTTGTAATACTGCCAGGCCCTTACGACGACGTGGCGAGCGAGGGGCATCAGCTCCCCGCGGCGCGACACTTTTCGCCGCTGCAATTAGCACAGGATGTCGCAGATTTGCCCGTGACGGAATTTCCAGCTCGAGGAAAAGGGGATGCCTGCCCTCTCTTTGGAAGAAACTCCAGGCTGACGCAGGACCGGAATTTCCGTCAGGAACGAGTATTCAGAGTCTGGTTCCACCAAGGGCCTCGAAACAGGTTGCCTCCAGAAGCCCACAACCCTTTCTGGGCGAATTCGGTCCTCTAACAAACCTCTCCATGGAGGTTCATGGGTGATTAGATTTTGGTTCCCTGGAACACTTCACAGATCTCTCCTGGGGGAGAATACGGTGGAGCGCATGTTTCGATTATTATCGCTGCATAAACAACACTTCGGCTACGATGTTCGAAGGCGCATAGACAGATTCGCTGTGATTAATGAGCGACACCGTGAGATCAACCGGCTGCGCAGAATTTAAGCGTGAGCAGAAAAGTAATCAAGGCAGAGAATCCTCAGGAAAGTATACCGCTCTCGACAGATGGCGAAAACAAACCCGTCGAATCTAATTTAGAGCTGCAGAAAGGCAATACGACCGCCACGGAATGACACTTACCCAAGAGGAGTAGTTTGATATCCTTTGCAGCCTGAATGCCGTCTTCTTTGAGATTCTTCTCGATCTGCTTCGAACGGGCCAGGGCGGCCCGCTCCTCTGCTGACATTGCGCAGCCCATTTTGTTTGTTCGCTTGTTCCGATTGTTTATCACAAACTCACGCACTCACGATCAATGATCGATGATGGATGAATGGACAGATAGATGAAGCAATCGGATGCTCGATGGATCACTTGATCGAGTAGACTAGACTTAGGGTGCGATCGTTAATGCTCTCCAAAAGGATGAATACGACAAGAAGCAATTTAATCCAGGTGCACTTCAGAAGATACAGTCACGTTTCCGTCTCCCTCAATAATACTCTGAAGATGCGTCAGCTCTCTCCTGTTGTAATTCCTTAAAGATGCTTCAACACTCCACGAACACGTCACTGAACTTTATTTAGCGTTGTGCCGCAGCCGCTAACCCGCCGAACGTCGCTTTGCAGCTGGCAGCACCGGCCCGGTATGTCCACTTCTATCTTCGTCTTCCTCTTCGAGTGGATCGTTCTGTCAAAGTCATTGAGCTCGCTTTCCTCGAATAATATGTTCAACAACCACGTCGGATCAACAAACGATTTATCGACCTTCGGATGAATCGTTCCGGTCAAGTGTATGATAGAGGTTCGTTTTCGATTCCGTTCGACTCCGACAAGCTCTGCGTCCGTGGTATCAAGGACGCGTCGCTTGGCATACACGAAAATCGGGTCAACAGGTAGAGGATTGATAGATCACCGGTGGACAGGTTCCGGGTCCCGAGTCGTTGGATCCGTCTTCTCTTCTCTGTTTGCGACCGGCGGATAGACTCTGTCTGTAGATCGTATACCGGACACCGAGAACTCGGTTCTTGGAGCAGCGTCAGGTCGCGCGCGTGAGACCTCCGGATGCGACGACGTCTGTCTTTAGAGGATCAACACCTCACTGGCTTCTTCGACTGCATGGATCGGAAGCAGCGAACAGATGAACGGATTCCCGCCCAACGTCCAAGCGTAAGGATTCGATAGAGGATCGGGTCCCGTCTCGAAACTGGAACTTCTCACGGGACTTCCCTTGGGGAGGATTTCAGCCGCGTCTTCCGATCCCAACCCCTCGGTAGGCCTAAATTACTCTCCTTGGCACTGTTGTTGCTGTCTGAGCCGTTCACTTGTTGGTGGTCTTCGTCGACGAGTTTCTGTTGTCTCAACGCGGAGAATGACTGTCGCTGTTTGAGCACCGTCCTGCCGTCATACGCGTCGGAGATGGACTATGGAGCTCTTCGCTTGTGGACTTCCGAGCTTGATCCGCCCACTGAGCGATTGGCTGCGGATTTCAGAGCGACTGTATCCACCTTGCGACCACGAAGAACTCGGAATCAACAACGATATCCGCAAACCTCGAATCCCTGGCGGGCTCGTGCCTCGTTTGGCTGATCGCTTGTCGGAGAGCCTAGTCTCGCATTGCGACAACCTTTCAACGGAATATTCGAAATTTTCGAGTAGGCTGCGCACACTCTACGCGAATATCCTGGCTGCAGTTCCTTTTCCTCTGATTCCGAATCTCTCGTTGGCGGGATAGGTCGAGAGCAAGCTGACTGGCCCCCTGTGGCTGCAGTTTCCTCGCGGCAGGGTTTACTTCTCGAAGGATCCGTTTGCGTGCTTGCTGCTCGACTACCTGGCACGCGGAATAAAATTATATCAAGGTAGACAGATCGTGGCTCGATAGGAAGTCAGATTGAGCTCCAGAGACAACAGCAGTCGGGATGAACGGATGTGCACCGACGGTGCCGTTGATCGGCTGCTTGCTTCTCGCGGATTTTCGGTGGAAAGCTTGACGGTTGTCGCTTCTCGGTGCGCTAGTACCTCGCTTAGCTGCTTCCTCCTAGCAGTGAGCTCCTCCGAATGGGTAGGATCTCCTGCAGGAAACCGAGGACTGGCTCCTGCCTCCTGCTAGCGCAGGGACCGAAGGGATCAAGGATCGACCAAAACGGCTGTGACGACGTTTCCTTCGCTTTGCTGTCACTCGACGAGCGACTGGTTTCTCTCTCTATACATGGAGCGGTTCCGCGTGCTCCTCACCGAGATCCGCGACTTCACGGGTAGGTAGGTAGATCGCTAGCTGGTGGGCGAGCGAGTGCTTCGCCTCCGAGAGTCCAGCTCGGGTTCGTTGGACAGCGGGTGGCTGGGTCGCGTTCGTCGAGGATTCGCCCGGCCGTCCGTCCGTCGACAAATAGCTGCTGTTTCAGTATTTGCAGCACACTCTAAGACCTTCACACACACACACACCCATCCAGGCAGCACAGCCAGACAGACACACGCTGCTGGTTAGCACGCTCACTTGTGCTTCTACTGCTGCTGCAATGGCGCGGCGCAGCTGCGAAACTTGGAGCAGCCGCCCTCGCCGCCTCGCTGATTTCAGATTCAAGTGCAAAGTCGTCGTTCCCCGCACGCGCTTCTGTTAGTCACTCACTACGCCCAACTTGCGTGAAGTGCTCGCTAGCAGCAGCAATCCAACATGGCGGCTTAGGCTGGGGTTAGAATCGTCGTCGTCGTCGAACGAGCCAGCCAGCCAGCGAACGGGCGGGCAGGCAGGCAGGCAGGCGAACGGCCGTACGAGCCAACGGGCGGACGAACGAGCCAACCAACCTACAGACGCACCGACCGACGGACGTACAGACTCATGGAGAGAGGCAGCGGCGGCGGTAATGGCGACGGCCACAGCAGCGCTCCTTAGTTCCCAACGCGCACACTCTCTTCTCTCACAGGCTGGCGGCGAGCAGACAGGCTAGACAGCGCGCTAGCCTGCTACTGCTGGCATTGCCTGGCGCTGCTGCGAGAGTGTCGTACGTGGAGATTGTCCGAGCACTCGGCAGAGGGCGCTCTCGAGTTCACTGCTGTTATGGCCACCGCTCGCTCGCCCGCTCTAATGGCAGCAGCAGCAAGCCGTCGCTGCGCGTTCTCCCAGTGTCTGTCCGTCGATCCGTACGGCCGTCCGTTCCTCTAGGTTGTCCGTCGGTCGTTCCGTTCAGCCTCACTCTCCCCCTCTATTTTTGCCTCCCTCTCCCTTTTCGAGCGCTCTCTCCCTCCAAGGAACCTAACTCTCCGCTAGAAAGCCGGCGAGAGGGCTCGATCCGTCGCTCGAGATTCAACGCCAGCGGCGGCACGACCGCTCTGGAATCGTTTCGCGCGCGCGTTAACCGCCCAGACCGTTGTCGCGGCTCAACGTTACCGGTCCGCTGGCGAGGGTTATCCACTTGCAATCAGCGCTGGCTCCAGCAGTGTTCTCTTCGGGAACTTCAAAGACGTGGCTCTCGCGGGGTCGTCTGTCAGTCGAGCTCGGGAACGTGCGCCTCTTCCCCCCCTTGAAATTCGTGCGGGAGGACGTCGATAGCTCTCGATTACTGAATAATTCGCTATACGCTCTGAAGCTTCTACCCGATTGTCGGAATATACCGCTCGTACTGCCACGGTCTGAGAGTTTCGTTAGGGGAGGAACTCGCTCAGTCGGATGCCCTTCTCTAAAGATTCTCGGTACTCCGGTGACCAATACAGGACCGCAGTCCCTCGCGGAAGGCTCCATCGATGTAAGAGCACCTCCGCACCTGTACTACTCGGATACAGGCCTCTAGCCGAAGACCGAGCTGAGATCGGAAGCAACAATGGCTCCAAGAGCTGAGGAGTCCAGGTCCCGATGGGCTCGCGGGTAGGAGAAAGGTCTTATTCGGGAACAATGGGAAGGAGGAATCTCTCGAGGTCAGACCATAGAAATGCCGCAGCTAGAAGGTCGCATGGATAGCGTGGATACTTTTAAGGTCAGAGGTTCCGTCTCAGGCTACTTCCTCGAGAGAGGGAATCGTGGCGGCTCGTTGTAAGTTCCGACAGAGACGCAAGATCTGATCGCGTGAGGATGATCCTCGTCCAATCATGAGCGGCCGTTCGTCCTGATGGCCCATTCCTGTCGACGGCTCGTCTCGCATCGTGATAAGAGCGCCTGACATCGGATGCACATGCCTCGCTCCCCACGAATAGAGACATCGCTCCACTCGCACCTATATGACGCCTATTATGACGCCTATTAGGACGCCTCTTAGATTTAGGATGTAGGTAGGTACAGACCAATCAGCCGTGCTCACCTTTTCCGATGCGTCCTAAATGAATTTTTCGAGATTCATCAGAGTTTTCCTCGAGCTGCCGCAAAACTACCTCCGAGACCTAAGAACGCGCAGTATCGGAAAACCGGATTCGAATGCGGCCGGACTTCTTGTCAAACTGCCTCGAAGGGTAATCCACAGAGTGAGAGCAGCCGATCCGTCCGGAACTTCGGCAGAGAGCTGCTTGCCGGCATGAGGATACCGAAAGTCACAGTCATCGAAGCCAAAGACAAGCTTGTGATGTTTTGAGATCATAGGGATACATCCTCTCAGAAGAGACTTCTCATTTATTCACAGAGATGAGTAATGGGTCAGTACATCAACGGCCAAGCCGACCCTCACAAGGTCAGGCACAGATGGTAGCGAACCGCTAGCGGCTGCACCATCCCCCCGGTGAACCTCGATCGAGACCCTCTGCAGCAAGAATTCCGTCGCTCTTCGGGCCCCCGAAAAATTCTCTATCTCTTTCGCCGATTCACCGGAAATGCTTCGGTGGAGCGGCACATGACCCTTAGGGCCGCTAAAACATCATCTATCAGGGGTGTTGCTCCACAGCCCAGAAAACCAGGAGCCTTCTTGCAGAATTCGGATGGTCAAGCGTCGATACCCGGGTCTGGTATATTTTTCACGCATCTTTCACTTTCCTCTTTAATTACCTATTCCCAAAACCTCTCTTTTTCGCAGAATACCCAATCGCATCCTCTCAATATACCCCGAGCTAGAACTTATCGAGTGAAAATAACTTTCCAGTCAGTCGGCAACAGGCATAGAACCTTCCTGCGTCCCGCCTGAGCAGTGTTCACGAAGTGGGAACGACCTGTCACGAAGAGGCTTCTTGGTGTGAGCTTCCAATCCATTCATTGTGTGAGAGAATACACTGCCCCGGGAAGTTTCTGATGAGCTTGCTCGTCCATCACCCGTCGGTCCTACATTGTGGAAACATAGCTCGACCGAGT